TTAGGTGACTTAGAACAAAATAATATCTATTCTACAATGGAGCTTGTAAATTAAGAAAACTGTGTCCAGCCCAACTAGTTCTTCCTTACATATACTGAAATCAAAATCATATATGTAAGCATTTATATCAAACGATTGCCTATCTTCACCTTATATATTAAGGTCAGTGAAAAGAGCAGTTTATGGATAAAGGGCAATAATAAAGAGGTAGCCTTTAAACATGATTAGTTGGTGTCTATTAAAGATGTGTTAAGATGAAATATATACTGCAGGTGAAGGAAATTACTAACTCCTTCTAGGATGAGGGACTTGCTGTATGTGTATTTCACTATACCTTTCAAATATTTGTGAATTTGACTGCATTCTGAGGAGACAGAGCAATGTGGTAGATTTATGAGGGTCTGACGGAAACAGGGCTAGGAAAGATTATGGCATACTTGTTTAGAAAAACTGAGAACTGAAGGTTCCTGATTTACACTGACATATATCTAGATGAAACTATAGTTTGCAAATTGCCTAGAGGAGTTATCTTTTATTAAGTGTTTGATGGGTATAGAAATGAACATATCTATTCTATAACAGTCTAGGAATACCAAGGCAATATTTGCAAATACTGTTTTCATGTTCTTAGATTTTCTTAAATATTTTCATTTTTATGGTCATCTCACCCAACCCTGTGCTGAGCTCCTGTGCCTACCTTACAAGCCACATGGTTAGAGTATTGTTGCATTATTTTGAATTCTTGAGATAGCATTGTGCTGAAATGTTCCCTGCATTGCAGGACTAGGAGAGATCAAACCACAGCTTAGGCACTTTTTACCTTTTTCAACAGCTTACCAACATATTTGACACTTTCTGCATCCTAACAGTTAGAAAAAGGTGTTAAAATCCCCAACATTCACAGTTAAGGCATTTCCAAAGGCTTTCAAGTTTGCCACTACATTGTGATTACACATGTTTAGTTTGAAATTAGGCAAGGAGTTACGGACAAAGCATGCAGTTTTACTAAGCACTGTGAGATTTCTTGCAAAGAAAGCCTGAAAGACTGGTAAGTTTTCTAATCAGATAATTTTTCCTTGTTTTATTCTGACTGATACAAGATAGATGACTTGTCTAGGAGGAGGTGAGGGGCAGGTGGGATTTTCACTGTAATTTTTGGTACATTAACTTCCTCTTTCTTGAGGATATGCTACTTTTTAATCTTATTTTAAATCATTATTATCATAGGGAAAATCTATTAGTCACTACAATCCTACTTTCATAATTCATTTTATTAATGCAATTAAAATTGGTGTTTACTGATGCTTTAGCAGCAAAATTATGAATTTAATATCAATTTAACAATGGATGATGCTATGCATTCTAGTTCTGTCAGCATTTTTTCAAGCCTGGTGAATGCATTATACAAACATTAGGCAACATTTTACATAACAATCTACCTATTAAATGGGAAGTTTTGTCAGACTTGTATGTGCAGTTGGTCACCAATTATGTATATAAATTTTTTTCCACAAAGGTGTGGAAACAGGATTAAAATGTTTTAAAGATTGCACAGGCTTCTAATAATGACATAGCAAGCACTCTCTGTTAGTGTAAGCTTTTGATCAGCAACAGCAAAAATAAAGTTTATGACCAGACAACTATTCGTACTTTCATTACAAATATATGTTCAGTGCATTGATAGCATTAACAATTTTTTTCTGTCATAGCATTAGAAGAAGAGCTGTACATTTGTGATAAACAACATGCACTGACCCATTTTCATCCGTAACTTGCATGGTTTTCTTAAATCATTAACTTATCAGATCTGAGCAGGGATGTCTGGATCTTTCTGGATGGTCCCTAGCATAATATAATGTGTACTGGAATATAAGGAAATAATTGGCACTTGTTACTTATAAGCAGCACTTGTTAGCATAGGCTTTCTAGCCTGCCAACAAGCAATTAACCTCAGCATCAGTCAATCACCTTTTCCTAGTTAACTCACATTACACTTTGAGGACAGCTGCCATCTTCTTGTGGAAAAATACATGTAACTGTGCCCCTGACTGTCATGTGAGTTTTAGACCAGTGTAACTTTATTCTATCCAAAAGACTTAGAGCTTTCTAAATAGTAGGGTAATCAAGAAAATTATTTTTCTTCCATGACTGTAAATTAGGAGTAAGTGCACCTAATTCATTGGTGCTGCATCTGTTTAAAACTGTGGCACCAAAATTGGAATCAATCTTTTCTTTCTGTACCTAAGAGGTGAAAGTGTAGTACTGTACAGAAGTCAATCAATGCAATGATGTTGCTTAGCAATGTAAATGCAAAAGAGTAGATTGCTGATGCCAAGAAATTTGCACCCACATATTGCACCTGTCAGTAAATGGGAGTTTGCATTGCAACTGCACTGCAGTGTGGAATTAATGCCCTAATTAGAGACTTTTTCATCTCTATTAGGAATGCCTGACAAGACAATATGGTGAGGTTTTTTATCAGCTCATCATTGCTATGGGTGGCAGAAGTAACTGGTTTTGTTCTTTTTAGCTCTTTTTGTTAGGTTGGTTGTTTTTTTTAAGACATAGCAAACACTTTAAATCAATTTTTGATAGGAATAGATGACCAGAAGAGAATTTCTGTGTGTTATTTGTGTAGAAGAGAGAGGTTGACGGTGGGTTAATAAAACTGTTTTTTCCCATTTCCCTACATGTAAGCATGATTTTCTTGGAAGAAAGGTATGGAAGAACTGAACTGTGATTTAAAGCACATCATTTTATTTCAATAGCAGGAAGCAACTTCCATAAATGACAACTTTTTTTCTTTTGATAACTCCAGTAAAATACAGAGATGACACCTGTATGAAGCATTATTTTTAGAAAGAGGGACTGGGACACTTCTTCTCCCTTGACTATCAAAATGACATATAAATATCATTTCTTTTACTTTTTCTGTGAGTTTTGTGACTTGTGCCTTGGTGTGTGACTGCGATGTGCTTTTTTTGTTGACAGATGTGAATAAGGTATAGAGAGCACTAAATAAAAGCATGCCTGGTCCAAATAGGCAGCAATATGCAGCAGAACTTAAGGGAAAAAAAAAATTCAAACCAAACCAAAAACCCCAACCAAACACAAAAGCTTCTGGAAAAAAAAAACAAACCCAAAAAAACCCCCAAACCCACCCAACCAACAAACTAAAAAAAAAAAAAGAAACAAACCGAAAAAAAGATTTACTGTAGACTTACTTCTTCCTGGTCAGTATGTTAGGGAATAAACTGAAAAATATGGAGTATTTTTCCAGTGACTGATGAGAACAAAAAGGAGCGAGATGAGGCCTGTAAGGTATTTTAACAGTTCTTAAGAGTTTTACATATTCAATTCAGAATAAATCTTCAATTATGAATGGCTGTCTATCCAGCTCAGGTAAGATAACCATAGGAGTTTCTTTTTAGTTTTACAGAACTTTTGTTATTATTGCTTAACATTTTCCATGTTTTGCTGACAGGAATTCTTTGGGGAATGTTTAAAGAGTGGACTTTTTAGTGGATTTCTTTGGGGTATTCTTTTCAAATAGTCACTGTTGAAATCATCCTGAGGCATACTTGGATCTTAAGTCACTTTACACTGTATTAAGTCACCCTGTAAAGTTCCTACCAGTAGCTGGGAATTACCTTAGTGATATTAATCCCTTTTCAAATATAAAACCATCTATTGGTGAAACAGTCTTATGATAATAAAATATAACTTGGTTTAACTTGGTTCTTGATATTATATTTTCTTCTAACTATATCTTTGGTATCTATAACTACGATCTTCATCTTGCCCTAAGCTTCTGATCACTTTTCTCAGGACCAGAATTTACATTCCCAGAGCAATCCCTACCCTCTTTTACCAGTTCCCTATTTAAATTAGTTAAAATTTTAATTAAAATTAGATTAAACACCCTGGCTGAGTTGAGTAAGGAGGTGGCCCCACAAGCAGCTTCACTGTCAGCTCTGAAGGAGCAGTAACCTCCATCTGGGCTGTGACATTAAGCTAGAATAGACTGGCACTGCTTCCTTTAGTAGCTGGCACTCTTATGGTTAGAAAGCACAGTCAGGCTACACTTACACAAAGTATAAACTCATGCCAATGTGGGAACACAAGATATTGCAGAACCATAAAACAATTTTTTTTCTTTTTTAAATGTTAAGTAAACCTCATGGTGCAACTGGTAGAATAGGAAACTATGGGAAGTTTTTTTACATGTAACTAATATATGCCTCAAGAGAGCAAAATGTTTTTTGTCTGTGTTTCTGCTTAAACTATTAAGCACACAACTGGAAAAGTTCTTAAAAGGAAACTGGATTATTTGGATTAAAATATTTTTTAGTAGTCTGATAATTATGTAAGAACATGAAGAAATGTGAGGGGAAATAGAACCATGTGAAGCAGAAGGAAGTGCACTCACTGGTAAAAATGAGGTGAGAAAATGTTGTGTTTTGGTATAAAACATGTTTTCTGGTAGTACTTTTGCTGAAATCAGCATTATGAAGTAGACCTATGATGATCATTAGTTACGTAAACTCATAATGCAAACTTGTAGTGTGTTGCAAGCCTGGTAAATTTAACTTTGGTTTTTTAGACTGACTGGTGATTTTACTCATATTTAACATGATAGATGACAGGGAGAGTAGGACAATTCTTTCTTTGTTTTGCCTCAATAACTGTTCTACTGCCTTTTTTGACTATTGGTTTAGAGAATCATTTTGGCCATTTAATTTGTATCTTCAGTATGTTCATGCTTTGCCTCTTGTTGCTTTCAAGTTTTGCCTCTTGGTTATTAAGACCAGCCATAAAAATCCATTTTAAATGGTGACTTAAGAAATGTATCCTTGTCAATAAATGTGAATTTGTAGCCATAGTCATCTTTGATGATTAAAATATATGGTTGCAAAACATAAAATGGTATTAATTATTCAGTCTAAGTACTCTATTCTGATACCTTTTTTTGTACTTACAAAACCATTTTCTTTTCCTAGGTATCTTTTTAGTGCTGAAATGGACACACTAATTGTGAACCATGTGGTAAGGAGCTCCTTCTGAAATGTGCAGTGGCATATTTACGGGGATGTAGCAGGTTACTTTAAAGCTTCTTTTGCCTGTAACCAGGTGAACAAACCTTGCAAGCCACAATGCCAGCTCGAGATCCAGCCCAGCACGTAACAGCAGCACTGAAACAGCCCCCACCACTAGGCAAGGGACAGAAAGGAGATGGTGACCTGCAACGGGATGAGAGACCTCGCTTACCAGCATTTGCTCACAGTTTTGCTTCTGGCAACTAACATTTCCATTTTTCTCAAAGCTTCTACATCTGTGTCATCAGACAAAGCCCCATGAGTGGTGGCAGTGCAAACTGTAGCCTTCATGTTCAAGTTTGAAGAGAAAAAGTTATTTACATGTCTAAGTCCCAGAACCAGCTGCTCAGAGGTCACTCTTTGTTGCCCACTGCTATGAACCATTAAGGCTTCCGAAAGCTCTGAAAGGAACGGGACATATTATGGGGCAGAAAAGTCTTACTGTTTTAAATTTGTTTAAATTCTATTTCATTGTATTATATGATTTTTGTCCTACCAGAAGAACATGGAAGATGGGATGTTTCTGTCATTATTTGCATGAATGACTATTTAAATTGACTGTCAGACCTTGCAGGACAAATCTTTGGCCCTTCTTAAGATTGTTTTAAACTGAAGGAGGTTATCTTTTAATTGATTAGGACTTTCGACTATTTTTAAAGGAAAATTATTGATTGATGCAATGACTTTTACTGTTTTATCACCCTTCTGCCTCAGTATTTATGTATGTTTTTCGTTACAAATTTAGGTAAATGTTTAACTATGTGTTTTAATGTTTTCCTATGTTTTCCTGTTTTTTTTTTTCCTTTCCTATTCTAGAAATGTTTTCCAGAATCAAACCCTTGAATTTAGTGACAATTAGTACAATTTCCAGACATATCAGTAAGAGTTTCTGTACTAAGTGTGGGAATGTAGATGTTAAGAGGAAGCACAAATAATGACTTTCTTTTTCCATTCACGGAGGAAGCACTAAGACATCAAGCTTATTCAACAGAAATGAATAAATGCAGCCTGGAAAGTTATTATTTTTCTAAACTGTGAGAGTATCTCTGAAATAATAAAGATAACATAAAACAAAAACATGGAAAATTTGTCTAATTTTCTTGCAAAAAATAATAGGAAACAAAAAAGGATATGTCACAGTGAAGAAAATCTTCAGGCAGGGAAAGAAAAGATTTGTTTGACAGTGTTAGGGTAGCTTGAAAGAATGATCCAGGGCCTGTTCTTTTCTGCTACCTCAGAATTGTCTTGGACATTTAATTTTAGTTTCCCTGTCTACAAATAGAAGATGATAATGCCCTTTTTGGCAGTGTTGTGCAGTCTTTTGAAATTTCACAATGAAAGAGAAAATTTTCATGGGGTATTTAAAATTGCCTGTTGGACCTCATGATTTTAAAATAAAAGTTTGGACTATACATCCTGGAGGAGATGCCTCTCTAGGGCAGTGTAGGCAATGTTTAAGCAGGGTGACTTTGGGTTTTGTTTTGGATTTTTTGGGTTTTTTTTTTTCCCCTTTTAAACTGTTTAATGGACTGTTTCTTGGTATCCTCTCTGGAACATTCAGGTCCCTAGAGACTGATAGAAATGAGGGTTGCTCTGAATAAAAAAGCCTTCTTTAGGAGATCCCATCATCATCAGAATTCTGTCATCCTCACAAAATACTTGAAATTAGTATGGCCCATATCTTGTATTTCAGCTACTAAACTTTCAGCAACATTTTGTCTGGCTAACATCTTAAATGCCATGGCTTTCCCATTAGATAAGCAGGCAGATTTCATTACTATTTCTTGACAGAACAAGATTAAAAAAAAAAAAAAAAAAAAGAAAAAGAAAAGGCTTGTGTTGTGAATCTCCTGTAGAGAAATTTGGTGACAGAAACAGAATTGTTGCTATATGGCTGAACATATTTTATGATGCAGAAAAGGAAATTAGCCAGAAATTAATGGAATCTGTATAAAACCTATATAAATATAAAATACAGCAAGCAAATGGCCTCTCCACAGTTCATTCTGGCAGTACCAATCATGTATGTTCTGACAATGGGCAAGGAGTGTGCTTAGGGTGGCGTGTCCCCTGAGCCCTGCCCCATGTTGCCAGCCTTTAGCTCTGCTCTAGTGTGGCTGGTTGTCACCACAGAGCTATGCAGTGGGACTGTGAAGGAGATTTGTCCTCTGGCACATCCTATAACATGAGTGTAGCTATGTGCTCTTGCTGGCTTGAAATGTGTTCTGGCCTGGAACAAGGGACCAAATTTTTTAAGGCTGGAGACATAAAAAGCCTCATATTTTGACTCCTGTCTGAAGCTTTCAGCACTTAGGATAGGAAAGGCAATTAACAAACCAGATACAGAATGAAGATGTTTTATCATTATATTAAAAGTAAGAATGCAACATTTTCTCTTTAGGTTATCAGTGAAGGGACAACAGTGTCTGTTACCTGCAGTTTTGTCTGTGGTAGGTGGCAGTTCACAGCTGAAGCACAGGTGTATGAAATGCTTGTCCTTTATCACTGACGTGCTCACAAGTTGCCACCAAATGTACCAGGCTCTACTCTAACAGAAAAAAACCATAAGTACTCTATGATAAAAATGGATGTGCTGTAATTGTTGGTGAATTAAAGACTCAAAAAGAGATTAACCTTTGATAACAATTTGTTATCTGTCTTTAATTAAACACAGAGTGATTTAAATAAATAGGAACATCTTTAGGGCTTATGTTTTATTTGTGAAAATGACTAATTTGTGTATGTTGTTATTTCAAGTTACTTTAACTGCTTCACTTGCATAAGTTCAAGAAGCAGAATTTCATTCCATCTGGTGATTATTTGCTTTCATTAATCATACAGTCAGAAAACATAGAATTAAAAAAATAATTACTGAAAACCTGATTGAACGTAATAGAGAAATTTAAGTGACTTAATGTGTCCATATGGAACCTGAAAATTTCAACACATTTCAAAAAATGAGTAGAGAAGAGAGTCAGTGAGCTACAAATGCTGTAATTTCCTCAAAAAGCCCATCTTTCCTGGCACTTCAACTAGTTTATATATCAAGAGCAGATGTATATTAACTGCTTTTAAAGATATTTTAGTTTTTTTACAATTTAAATTAATTTAAAAATTAATATATTATGTGCGCTACTGAGATTGAAGCTGTTTACTTTCACTGCACTGTGAATCTCTAACCCATGTTAAATACACTAGGAGACCTAGTATGTTAATTTGAGGATCAAAAAATGTTTCCAATTGGTTATATTAGTTCTGTCAGTAAAACAATTTTAGACTTAAGGAGGTGTAAGAATCACCTGAGGCAGAGGTATGTTAAATCTTTTACAGGTTTGGTACTTCCCAAATCATGAGTACTATCATTCTGATACCCTTGAAAACCACTAAGCTGACTTGCAGACCATTGCCCTCTAGCAGAAAATTACTCAGAAGCCTCACTAGAGCAACAGCAAGCCTACAAGTGTGCCTCTCTACAGTGGGACATGACCACCCTGTCTCCTGTCAGACATGAAAGACATATAATAAAAAATAATAACAATAATAAAACCAATAACAATAATAAATATCTAATACCTAATAAATAAAAAGTCTTAATAATTTGGCATCTATCTAATATACTGAAATCCAGAATTATTAATGCTGGCACAAGGTATCAGATAGCATCACAAAAGAGTGATTTTTGCTGTATTGTTACAGATGTTCCAGCTATGCAAACAACAGGTTGCAGTGCTATACTTTTAAATCTCCACTGGTACGAGAATGTGCACATGTGCACAGCAGATCACTGGTTATTGCAGTAAAGGCAGTCTCTGCTTCTGCTGTATATTTTCCCAACTGATATGCTCTTTCTTTTATTTTTTTTTTTTTTTGAGGTTGTCATATGGTATAACACTTTTACTAGTTGACTCCTCCTACTTTTCTTCAAACCACATCCTGATTTTTGGCCTCAGAAACTAAACATATGCACAGCTTGCAGAACAACACATGATATTGTTTCTGTATAACATCATACCAGCTGGGATATAAATTCTTACAGACAATTTTATGTGAATGAAAAATACCTACATTATGACATTTTCCATAGTTGTGCAATACATACCACAGTAGTGCATATGGTTTAGAGTCAGAGATCCTCACTTACAATTATAACAAAAGTCTCAAGTCAGGCCACAGATCTTCAGACAATGTAATTTTGAATAAATCATCCTAATTTATTTCTATTTTGTTTCTTGCTTCTTCTATTCTGTTTTGGATTTCTGAAATCCTGCTTAACTAGTTTGTGGGCTTTAAATTTTATCCATTTCATTCATTTGGTATCAAGTCCAATAAAATTATCATTTAACTGAGGAATAGGTAATTTGTGATGTAATTTTAACTTGCATCATGATTTGAAGATATATATGCCAATAGGTATGATTCCTCATTTTTGGGCAATATATTCCACGTTTATTTTCATCAGTAAAAAACTATTTTGTTTCTGTTTTTTCAGTGTTGTTTGTTTGTTTATTTATTTACTTATTTATTTATTTGGGGTGATAGTGGAAGTCATTGGGTGGTTGTTACATTTTCCTTCAGGATAAAGAATCTGCATGTGAGGGTTTTCTCCAATGATCTATAAGCTTTAATCAAGTCACACTCAGCCCTCTTTTTTGATGATTAAAGACACTGAGTTTATGCTTTCACAGCAAATAATTTTCTTTTGCTCTCAAATTAATTTCAAATGCAGTTTTGTGAACTCTCTGTCTTTTTCCCCACCATTCTCATTAAAATATGGACAACAAACCTGTTGGGAATTATTCCAACAATTGCATCAGGATTCAAGGATTATGTTAATGGTGGGAGCTCATGTTGGGTTGCTGGTCTACTATGGCCCCTAATCCTTGTAGAGTCAAGGCACTCCATGTCACTGTACCCCATTTGTGGGGGGTGAAATCCATTTGTATTATGTTTAACTATGAATTCATCTCTTCTAAGATGCTCATTTCTTGCAATGGATCTAGCTGATAAGGAGATCTCTTCCTTGGTTTCATAATTATGTACTCTCTGAGTAATCTTTCTGTCATCCTTAGATCCTTAGCATGGTAATTTGTACTTGCACCTCTGGGTCACTGCTGGGAATACTGAATAGCACTGGGCCTAGTAAAGATGCCTGCTAGATTCAACTAGAAAAAATTTGATATTAATTTTCTTTTAAATGTATCTTTTGATGATCTTCTAGCCAGCTCTTGATTGAAATTGTGTACATTGATGCTATGTAGCAGATCTTTTATTTTCGTAATAAAATTATCATACAGCATTTACAAACTTCTATTATGCATTTATCTATTAAACAAAAAGAAGGAAAGCATCCAATGGGCAGGTGAAAAAAATCTGTTTGCCACATAGCAGACAAAACACTCAGGATTAATATTCTTCAATTTTCTCTGCACATGTAACTTCATTTCAAAACATTTCATATATAAATAATACTGTTCATCTTTCAGAACTGGAGGGATTCTGACTTGCCTGACATATCTATCTCAAAATGTGCAAGGGCTTTCTGAATTTATTCAACCACCTCTGAGAAGCTTACAGGACTGATGCCAGACACTGGTGCATGTACTTTCTTCTGCTGTATTTAAGATGTTTTGCCAACAGTTTGTCTCTCAGATTATGCTTTATAATTTGCCACAAAACCCAAATTCATAAAACTAAATAAATATTTTTAACTAATTCTTAATCCACCTTTTGGCAGACCTTATTTTCATTTCTGTAAAAGCAACAATACTGCATCTATTACATTGACAGATAAAGGTTCATCCAGAATCCTCCCAAAACTTAGGCATTGTCATAGCTTCCCTCCTTCTCACCCCACAGCATTTAAGGTTAACGTGCCTGAAAGGTGTTTGCATTTTTCCAAGTGAAGAAAAAGAAGGGAGTGAACTTTAAAATGAGTCAACTAATTTAAAATATCTCCCTTTCTTCCTTTGGATCCTTCTCTCATCCGGAAGAATGTTTTGGTGAAATTTATTAGAAAGAAATTTCCAAGCAGTTTATTCTTTTTAAAGCAAATCTAAAGCTTTTGGATTTATTGGACTTTTCTGTCTTTGTGTAAGTTGAATATCACAGCTAATAGCACAGTAATAATTACATGTCATTTTCTTCTTCCTCTTTGTGCACTGCCAATCTGCAAAGGTGTCTCATTTCACACATCATTTGTGACGTCCTCTGGTAATACCACATATTTTGGGGAATAGCTGGTGAATGCAGTCATAAATCTCCATTTTGAGATGTCTAGTTCCAGATTCTGGACCCCATTCTATAATTATTCAAAGCAAAGCACTCTTGGTGAAGTCAATGGGCCAACAAGACTAAGCTCAGATCCTAAGAGAAGGAGTAGAGGTAACTAAACTAAAGTTCAGGACTGCAGGATTTCCCAGTCCTTTAGCCGAGCTGCAGCGGTCACAGCCCAGGGTAGGAAAGAGGATTTCCCTATTTGTCTGCATCTAGTGACCCTCAGGGTCACTGCAACTGATGGGAATTGGGGTTGATGTGATACTCTGGACAGTCTGCCCACATCATGGAGAGAAAGGAAGCTATTCTGATGGTCCTGTTCCGTTCAAGACAGCTAGTACAAAGGAACACTGTTAATTCCTATCGAGGCAAAGCAACTACAATTCAACAGTGATCCAGACCTGATTTCAACACAGAGACAGCCTGTGAAATTGAAAAACAGGAATAAACCAAAAAGTACTGAATGTGTCTGAGAAATCTTATCAATCCTGGCAGGATATTTATTGCTCACTGATGACTGAGAATCTCATCTTGCTCAGAGACTAGTTGTGTGTTACTAATGGAGCAAAAATGTGGGGTGAGCAAAGAATGACAGTCTAGGGCTGATTACTCTGATGTCATGCTTAGGGAAAAGCAGCCAGAAATGTGCAACTCATTCTGCTTAAGAACCAAAGGCACCTAATTACAATCTCATTTTGTTAAAACACAGTGCTAATGACTTTCTTGTGCAGTAGCTGGATACCATATCAACTGCCATATAAGCTAAGTTTTTCCATTTTAACAGTCCCAGTTATGGTATTTGATTGCCTGTGCATAAACATTCACCAGTTGTTGCTGTGTGTCACTGGAGAGGAGGGATGCAGCAGTTTACACTAGGCAGTGAAAGTGAAAGGAGTAGCTGACAGATAAACTTTCTGCTAAGATGTCCTCACTTTAGAAGAGCTGTTTGAAGCAACTTATAAAACATGGTCTGTTAAAAATCCAACCATTTTTCTTCAGGTCAGATTATTCTGTGGTGCATCAGCAAAAATTAAACCCCATTCTCTCTTGTAATCTCCTCTTCTTTTTAATTTTTGTAATCTATTTTTTTGCTGGCACTCAGGTGCTTGTATCTTTGATTTTTTTTTTTTTTTTATTTAGATTGCTTCTGTATATTTTCTACAAGTTTTGCACCATCTTCCAAAACTTTCCTATGAAATGTATATATACACATTTTTAGAGCTCCTACTACTCGCTTTTGTTAAGGGTTGCTTCTATTATCTTCCAAGCATTCTTCTGAGAGTGAATGTATTGTTAAATATGAAGGGTACCTTGTTTTGCTCCCTACATATTCATTTCCTTCAATGGATCCTGAGTTAAGTATGTGCATGTATAATATGCATTGACATTTGTTATTATTTGATCTCATTCTGTAAAATCCTCTTCAACAAATTCTACACATTTAATCTGTTAATTACAGTAAAGTCTCTTCTATTAAATATTTATCTGAACGGAATTCTCTGAAAATACAGAAATGAAGATAGATTTCTAAATAGCTGTGGGTTTTTGGGACACAATAAGGACAAACTACATACCAAACCACATTTTTCACATGGCATTAAATGGCTTTAGATTTTGATAAGTTTGGTTTTCTCCTATATGGCTGATGCAATCTATTACATGTGTAATTGTATTTCTCAGTATGTTCTTTCTTCAAATGTGAATTGCATTAATTCTTTCACTGTGGTTGGTCCTGTGACAGTGCCCATCCCTCTAAATCTATGTAGCTGGTATTTTCTCCAGGTTCATAGTTCTTGTCTCTCCAGGTCTCTGCCACTTGTTTTCAATAACCTTTCATATGAAGCAGTGTTACTCTAAGCTTTTGTGTCAAAAATCAGATAGGATCTCAAGAAAACAATGTGTGTTTAAATCTTTTCACGGTCAGGTGATATTCAGAGGAGAGAAAAGCTTGTAATTATTATTTTTAAGGAGCATGGAGGCCAGCCAGAGTTGAAATAGGAGCATTTCCAATGCATCCTGAAGAAGCAAAAGGGGCAATAATAAAACCAAATTTACCCTATTAAGAGAAACATTTTTGGAAGGATGGACTCATTAGCTATGTGCTGGGGGCCAAGTCATTTTCTATTTCTTTCTCATTACTTCCAGGCCATGACCACGTTCTAGCTATATTCCAGATCAAAACACTACCTGGGAATATTAGTAAGCTGAAAAAGAAACCTGTAAAATAGTTATGGTCCCAATGTTAGTATGAAATTCAGGACCATGATCTTTTCACTGCACCAGTAAAAAGTTATGTCAGTTGTAATTTTTGCTTCTTGGAGATGCCCAGCATTCAAAGAACTCTCCACAAGTTCACATTCAGTTCTGCTGAATTAAAAAATCAGCAGGAAAAGGCACTGATGAGATCAGTTTTCATGGGTTGCTTGGGGAAGAGAATCAAGAAGCCAGCCCACTCCCCAGTCTCTGCTGAGTCCTGTTTTGGGTGCAGGTTAACTCACGTGATTTGGCACCAGTCACTAAGTTACTTGCCAGCTGTGTGTATTTAGTGTATCAGGTACCACTGCTGTCTCCTCCTTTCCTAACTCTCCTAAAGAGTCAGCTGGTGACTGGACACCAGAGGGATTCTCCAGCCTCTGTCCTCAGGAGCAGGGCAACAAAGCAAGGGCAAGCTGTAACACATCACTGCTCTTACTCCTCCCAGTGTTGTAAATTAAAACAAGAATATGAAAAACCCATATGATTTCATCCCTTAGACCACAAATGAAGCTGAGTCAGCAAGTGGCGAAGAAAACTACATGTATTTATAGTGAATGAGCAATTATTTCTTTTTCATGAAATGTTTGTAGCTAATCAACTCAAATATCTGCCCATCTAATAAATACAAGCTGCATACAATCCTGCCAAAAAACTGCACTTGGATGGTATATTTGGCAGTGATGAACTGCTCTCAAAGCATATTCGGTGTTCACTGTTTGAGTCAATAAGCTGAGACCTGAGTAAGATTAAAAAATTATTTTGATTTTTTTTTTATACTATATGTCACTTTTATTCATAACCATGTTCAGTTCCTCTGATTTCTGTAGATGTAATGGTGTCAGGCACTGAATCCAAAGCTAAGCACTTAACTATTTCTTTCCATATAACCTAACTTTTTCGTATGTCCTAATTATGCTCCTTGTCTTTTTTTTTCTTCCCTCACCTTTTTAGCCATATCAAATGGATTCAGATTTCAGTTTGAAATTCTATGAAATCTAGCAATCAAATTTTAATTACAATTTAACCTAAACTCTAAGCACATCCTCTGAGTATTTTTTGTTGTTCATTGTAACAACAACAATAACAACAACAATAATAATAAATTTATATACTTCATTGAAATGTCTGACTTCAATATAAATATATATTTTTACACAGTTAAAAAATATGTCTCTGTGTACAACACTATGATAAATACAATTATGCTTTCAAAGGAGATTTTTAGGAGACTATCATATCAAAACTAGATTTTCTCCCATTTGATATTGATTACTTATTTTCTACCTTGGAACACACACCACAGTCCACTCAAACTCTGAATGCTTTCAGTTTAATCACTTTATACTGCTCCATCCTGTCCTTCCTTCAGGATCTTTACAGAAATGTAGGTAGCCAGACACAAAAATTCAGAGAGCAAAGTTGGGAAGAGTAATTTCTACTGACATTAACTTCCCATGAATTTCAACACAGAGGTTTTTCCATGTAACTCCCATTAAAATTAATGTGAATCATGTGACTCAGATCTCTGCATACTGAGCAGTTTCCTTAGTGTACTGAAGAGTCTGCATCTAGTTTCCGAGTCCCTAAACAAAATGATGGAGGCTCAGTGACAGCATATCACTCAAAAATCTCATATATTTAGTCTATTATAAAGCTTAGAAGAAACATTTGTAAAAGCAGCTTTAGCATCAGAAGTCAGAAACCCCATGGAAAGTTTAATTCAGAATTTTTGATATGGTTTGCATAAAGTCTGATAAAACAGACTACTATACTTGCAAT